GTAGATTCTACCAATAGTACAGATTATCTTCTCTAAGGTACTGAAGGCAAAGGTAGACATTCTCCTAAGTAAATTGCTACATATACAAAGGTTATGATTCAAATTTCCAACAACTTATTTAAGTGATAAGAGTTTCTACCACTCACTCCAACTTTAGTTGGTATATATAATATATTCTAATGTCTACATTGATGAAGAACATAAGTTGCAACAACAAAAAATAATTAAGAGCATACTTCCTTTAGTTTTTATTATAAGGTGTCTTTTAGAAAGATTCTTTAATTCTTAATAGAAGGCACATGATGAAATATTAATTACATTATTTTTTATAGTATCTCTATCTTAACTCATTAATTTGAGAAAGAATACAATGCAAATTTAAAAAAATCATTTAAATAGAAGTAAAATTAAAATTTTATTATATTTTCAAATAAAATTAGTATATTAACCACATTTTCTTAATTCTGGAGTATATGTTAGAGATACTTTATAACATAGTTCTAAGGGAGTATATGTTTGTGCAATTAACATAAAAAATTCAAAGTTAGTTGGCTTGTCTACTTAATTAAAAGACAAGAAGCTAAAAAACAAAATTCATAGTTCCTAGTGTCCTAAACCTTTTTGCTTTCTCAAAGTTCTTCTTTGCTACCTTCGAATTCATCAATACAAAATGTTTCTATTGGAAGAATTAACACATACACACACACACACGCACACGCACACTTTTTCTGTTTTTAATTACTGGCCTTGAACTTGTAGAAACGCACATCAATATATATATATATATATATATGTATTATATTTCTTTGCCCCACTCATTGATATAGGGGAAATTAAATAATCATATGAAGAAGTGAGAACTTCGACAAAGCAATAATATTGTTAAGATTATCTTAAGGTATGCTCCCTCAATATTGTCAAATTTATTACCTACAAGGTAAACATACATCGAAGTGATTGTTGTGGTCCAAGACTCAGGAGAATTAGGTAATTACTTATTAATAAATAATGCATAATTTGATATATCCGAGATGGTTTAAGTTAGTTAAGAAAAGCAATGTTTAAAAATTGAAACACATATACCTAACCAACACAACACAGTGCAAGGCTTTCATGAAAAGACGAATTTACAAAATCATCCATACCAAATAGGTAAGAATGAATGAATATATATAAGACTTCTCTTTTTAAATCTTTTTCTAAACAGAAATGTTTATATCCTTGTCTAGAAAACCATACCATCTGTACTCTATCCAACACAGCGATTCCAAATCATATAATGAAGGACCTGCGATAATTATTCTATCTAATATATATATTAGCATCAGATGGAGCAATACCAGTATACACACATGCGTTGACAACAAAATCAATGTACTTGACGCACGCACGCACACAAGCCTAGATTGTGTATTTTAAATTTATCCATGTAATTACCTTTCATACTATTAATTAGTCCACTATTTTACCAATAAATTATGACATGTTAGCGAGTATGTATTGTCTTTGATGAAGTTCTTTACACCGGCTTTTAATAGGGTTAAAGGGCAAATTTGTTCTAAATTTTTTTTTGTCAAGTGCAATTGATATTCTTAACTTTTGATTAGAGAAATATTACCCTTGAAGTTTCAAAAATGAGGTAATTTGCTCTAAAATAATGTTTGACCAATGTTGACCTTTAATTGAAAATTTTGACTAAGGTAATTAAATTGAAGAGCAATTTTTTGTCCTAGAAGTTTTTTTTTAAGAGTAATTGGTATTCAAAACTTTCTAGTAATGCAATATTTTTTGATTTATCAATTTTCAAATTAGAAGAAAATCCTAACAACCCATCATCATTATTAAAAATTGTTCATATTTTTAAATTTGGAGCTGAGGTTTTACTCGAGACTACTTCAACCAAATGCAAAGACTTTCTCTTGATGTCCACACTTGCCCTTATTTTGCCCGTTAGCAGGTCTAATCCACTTGCACATGCTTAAATACAAACTTTATTTAGACTTGCCGTTGGACTAGTCTGAATTTTGGATTTAGAGACATTCAATGTAATTCAATCTAAAATCTTTCTTTGATTTTCGGTCATAACAAGTTGTTGAATCTTTAATTTTTTTATTTAAATGTTGATAACCCAAAAGTATTGTGTCAAAATCAAAAGTTTAGGATACAAATAACTCCTTCAAATAAACATTTGAGACAAAATTGGCCTTTAACACCTAAAATAATAATCAACATTAGTCAAATGTTATTGTAGGGCAACATTGCACCATTTTTTAAACTTTTCGGATAACATTGCATCAATCAAAAGTTAAAAATACCAGTTGTACCTGATAGAAAAATTCTAGGGCAAATTAGCCCTTTTAACCATTGTTAATATAACCTGTTGTTAAAAGACTTGGTCTAGAAAGTTCTTTCTGCACTTGTTTCTTCGGCAATCAGTGTATAAATATCTTTCTGCAGATAATATTATCAGAATGCCACAACCCCAGTTTTACATCGTTTGAGAAGGAACTGATGTAAAATGTACCTTGTGTGATGAAATCCTTATTTTGCACTAGTGTGTTGTCTACATGTAATGTAAAGTTTGATGAAGTTATTTTTACCAACAATTAAAAATAAAGTTCAGGAGAATATTTTATCCATGACATAATACCAAAAAAATCAATAGCAAAAAGAAGTTTTCTACATGTAGTGCCAAAAATTACGGGATTAATTTGTCTGTGTTTAATGGTTAAGGCTATCTACACCTAGTTGATCACAATTTAATTTGGGAGACTATCAATAGAGGATGCCTAGAAAAATTTAGGGAGAATAACTTCCAAGGATCTAGCAAGAAACTTATTCATAGACAAAAACTAATGACAAATCCTATTTGAGAAAACACAACTCAATGTATCCATTTTAATAACAATTCATTTCATATTGGTCTTTGTTTGCAAACAAGTTTCTTACCAGATCTTTAGATGTGATTCTTCCAAAAAAATTTCTGGTAAGAATTTTTAACAAGTAAACATTAACAAATTAACAAGTGAAATTATTGTTTTAACAAATATCTGATCAATCTAGAGTCCTTGTCAAATATAAAATTTTTCTGGAATCTTTCATTGATATTCTCCCAATTCAATTTGAAAGATTTGTAAGCATATACATCACTTCTTTTCTAACGCTAACTTCTAAAACAATGCACCGATATAGTACTTGAGTGCATATTTCAAGCTTAAAATAACAAAATTTGAGAAAAACAAGACAAAGAGTGGAAATTAACATGCAAGAACATGAATATTAATTAATTAAAGCTAGATTAACAAAAAACTGATGATGCTTTTAAGACAATAATGCACATGTGTGTACGCGCTATGGGTATGGACATGTCTTTTGTTCACAAGCCCTGCAAGCAATTCAAAACCTCTCTTTTAAGAATCCTATCTTTCAAAGTTAGCTAGTCTACTTGAAGACAAAAAGCTATAAAACAACATTCCTGTTTCCTGGTTTCCTAAAACCTTTTTGCTTTCACAAACTTCATCAATGCTACCTAGCTTTGAGTTAATCAATACAAAGATAACACACAGATTCATTATTGAATTGAATTAAAGTAGCTACTCTTGATGTGATAAGTTATTTCCATCATGTTTTATTGAAGTTAAGAAAAACCTTAAAATTCAATAATTCTATCCTAAAATTTAATAGGTTTATTCCACCTCTACCCCTACTAAATGTGAAAAAAGAATTATTTTTAATAATTTTTCTAGCATTTAATGAGGACAAAAAAGTAAAAATGAATTTAGGAAATAGTATAATACCCTCTAAATTAATTAGGCCAGTGGAGTATTGTTCAGTCATTACATTTGTTAAGAACTGTACGCATATACTACGTCACTTAGTGAATGTGTTTATATGATTTTTTTTTTAATTGATAAAGTTTCATCTTTGACATCTTGTTATAGCTATTTCTGAATTATATATATATATATATATATATAGAAAGTGATTAAAGTTATAGTTCCTCTAAATATTTTCAATCAACCCCAGAAATTTTTTCAATAAACAAAGCATTATTAATTATATATGCATTATCAGATTATCAAAACATATCACGTCGTTATACATTGGATCTATTAGCCATATATGTTGTTATATATATATGTGCACTTTCTATAGCACTGTAATTAGTTTATTAACTATATATGTTTTAATATAATTAATGGACTTGAACTTCTTCAACATGGTGGCCAAAAGAATTGTTAAAACATCCATTAAAAAAAAAATTGATCAGTTTCTTGCCCCACCTGCTGCTAGTGGAAATAACTATATATATATATATATATATATGATCACAAGTAAACTTATAGCTACAAGATAAACAAACACCATAAAGCAATTCTTATGGAAGTTCAACAATTAATTTATCCAATTGGTTTTTGACTGGCACGTTTTCTTTAGTTTTTTGTGTCTCAATATTAATTAACTTAAAGTAAATAATAATAACCACTAAATAATATGTATTATTATACCTAAAGTACTCCTCCACCCAACATGATCTGATAGTTTTAAAAAAGCAAATTGAGTAGAGATATGTACTTTAACCTACACAACCTAACACAATGCCTTCGATAGAAAATTAATTTTTCTCGGAAAAAAGGGACAAATTACAAAACCTACGAAGTTATAGAGAACTAATTATCGATTCTCACGTTTTTTTATGCCTCTGTGTGTGTGTGTGTGTGTGTGTGTTTGTAAGAGAGAGGACAAGGCAATAATGTCGACTACAGGACAAACATCGAAGAAATTCTTTGTGGAAGTTCAAGGATTAGATTATCAAATTGGTTTTTCTCTTATTTAGTAGTATTCATGACTAGACAAGTATTCATAATGTTAGTTGTCCATAAACAAATAATATAATGTCTAATAGCCGACAATAGATCATCGAACAAAACGAAATTGCATCTATTCCACTCAAAGTAATTAACGCATAATTAATCTGATATAGATCTGAGAGATATATATAGTAGTCTTCAAAAGAAGCAAAATTATAAGAAGAAATTAATGTTTAACAATTCAAACATAGCTAATTAACCACCACAACAACAAACACAACAGAGAGAATCAATCTTCATCACAAAATTAAAATGAGAAATTTACAGAACCAACACAAGTCACAGCCAGTTACGGATATAGAAACTAATTATTAATTCATGGACTCTCACCTTTCTTGTGCCCTAGCAAGTTTAATATGGCTGCGATCTTCCACCTGAATTTTCAACCCAATTACCGTTAAGTGGTAATTGAGACATGTTTACAGGCAAATTCAAGAAGGGAAGACCAGAAGACGAGCTCGGAAATCCGTTCATGTCTCGGTCAGCATCGTGGTCGCCACTGCCATCGCCGCCGTTCTGGACCGGTAAGGGTTCCTCCTCGTTATCCAACGGCAATCTCTCATATGCTACGTTGGTAAATGAAGAAGCAATCACAATAATCGGCCCAGCTGCCACCAAAGCGCCGACAACATTTCCTCCGACCACTTGACCTTGCCCGCCGGCAAGAAATATGCTCAGGCTCGTCGCTCCGGGCGGAGCTGGAGGCGGCAAGAAAGATCCGGACAGAGACAGTATCTCAAACCGCCCTTGAAGCGTCGCAATAGCCCCAGCCGCTGCCGGCTGCCGGATTGTCACGTTGGTGACGGTGCCGCTCCCGCTCAACACACAGATCCCTCGCTGTCTCCGCCGAGCATAAGTCGCCACGCACTCGAACACATCGGAGCCGTTGCTAACCTCAAGAATATGAGCTCGGAGCGCGTTGGCGCTCTCGCGGGTGATAATCACCGGCGGCTTTGGCTTGTTCTTCGAACCCGGCGGCCTACCCCTAGCCCGGCGAATGGCAACATCGCCCGGACCGGCCGGGTTAAGCCCTAGAGGGTTAGTACTATCGTCTTGGTTATCATCATCTTCACTGGATTGAAGATTAGGGCGTTGAAGCTGATGATGATGATGATGAAGAAAGTGATGAGATTGTGAAGAACCCAAGTCCAGGCCGGCCATAAACACACACACAAAAGCTAAAGCGAAGTAAAACAGGAAAACAGAAGAAAAAATTTATATTATTATATGGTAAAAGAAGAGAGTACGAAGATTAAGAACAGTGAAGAGATTAAGATTATAATTATATGTAAATTTAAAAGGTAGAAGAGTGACCAATGATTCAGACCTACGAACGAATTGAAAAAAAAAAAAGGAAGGGAATAATAATGGAGGATGAGTACTGCAGAGACAAAGTGAATAAGAAACGAGAGGGTCGTGTAGGGGGGAGAGAGAGAAAGAGAGAGATTAAATGAATGGGGCGAGAATAATAAAATATTCAACCCTGTAAGCAAGTATTTTAATTATTTAATCTTTTGAGTTGATTTAAAATTATTCTCTTTTTGTCGTCATATAGTTTATTCAATTTGATTTAGTTCCTAACGTTCATAAACATTTGTTGACCAAAAAAAAACATTTAATTTATTTCTTATTATTAAAAGGGTAAAATAGTAATTTACGTTGAGACTATAGATCTAAGAGTATCCAGTATCTTAAACTTTTTTGATATATAATTTTTTAAAATAGTATAACATAACTTCTATAATTTAGTTTAACTTTGACTTTTAATTTACTAGAAAATGATATAAAAAGAACATTAAGTATTACATAAATGGACCATGAAAATTTTTTCGGTCCTTTTCTGTAAATATTTGGTCCTCTTGTGTAATTTTTAGATTTTTTATGTAATTTTTTTGATTATTTTTTATAATTTTTTGGTCTTTTTTTGGTCAACTAATGATAAATTAAAGTTAACTTTTATTGATGGTAGGATAACATTACATTGTTTTTAAAAATTGGGAGAAAACATATTAAATTGAGTTTAGGGTCTTAAATATTCCTTAACTTATAGTTTAGAGGCTAAATTACTATTTTACATTTATTAAAATTTATAGTCTCTTTGGTCCTTGACATAGGATGCCTCTTAAAAGAATTTTTTGATCCTTAATATAAGGCGCTTGATGGTATTAATTATATTTTCTCAATATATATTATGTTTTCTCAATATTCTCATATTTAAATATGAGGAAAATGGGATGTAAATTTAAAATTTTTATTTAAATAGAAATAAAATTAAAAGTTTATTCTATTTTTTAAAAAAAATTAATAAATTAACCACTTCTCTATTTAGGTGAGATAAGTAGGAGTGCGGATTGCGTTGTATTTGAACACTATAAGTGTTCGGTTTGATAATTAATCATGTCAACAAACAAAAATAGATGACAAAATGAAATAAAATTAATTTATGTTATCGATACAATTAAAACAATTGTATATTTGAATTGTTTTGATAAAACTTTTATTCATTATGCGTTGACCAAAAGTTTAACCATTAGTTAAATTAAGGAAAACTAGAAATTACAAGGCCGCAATAAATTTTTAATCATACATTGACCTGAATGTATCAAAGAAAGAATTAATTAAACTAAAAAAAGTAAATATAAAAATAACTCAAATTTTAAGTATTAAAAAAATTAGGACAACGATTATATTATAAAACTGAAACAGTATTTAAAAAATAAGGACAAGATTCTTTTATTCTCTTAAGCCAAACGGAACTTGAGTGTGGGAGACCATGTATGTATAGTTAATTTTACTTTAAAAAAAGAAAGCTCAAAGTTTATAAAGTCTAGGTAAAGTGAATGAGTATACCGAAAATTCTCTAATAAATAAGAAAATTTCTTACATGTACAGCACCATCTCACTTGTTGCCTATCCAATTAGAACGCCACAAGTCATCTCATCTTAATCCTAATTATATTAGCTTATGTTATTTTTTTTTTAAAATATTTGGACAGAGAAGATGTAAGAAATTATTAATTAACAAATTGATCAAAATAATTTATTTGCTTAGGAATTATATGTATAACATAAAATAATATAAATTAAGAAAAAGCCAACTAAGATTAAAATAAGTTTAATTGTTATATTCTCACTGGTCAATGTACAAATGATATGGTGCATTTAATCTATATAAGAATTTATCAATGAATAATGTATTTTTTTTCACTTCCTTCTTTAATTTAGGTCATCACCATGATAGTCTTGTTAATTTTGACACAGTACGCATGTGTACATGCACATATTACTTGTCATGTTCTAGACTAAAAGGATTGACATCTAGCTATAATAATGCCTTCGTTTTATGGATTGTCCTTATGAGTTCAGCCTGTTCCTTATGAGTTCGGCTCATTTTCTATCTTAATTTTTAATACTCCTTTGATTTTATTTATAGGTCATTTTTATCGAACTCATCAATACTAATACAATAAAAGTACAAGGAATAAAAATAAGTAAAATTTCAAATATAATTCTAAAATAAAAAGCAAAAAGAAAATAAATAATATAATATTATTTTCCTGTCTTTCTCCCTTACTTTTTAAGGGTAATTTGAGAATTTTAATTTGAAACAAAACAACCTATAAAAAAGTGACTTATAAAGAGAACCAAATTATATTATTAAAAGGTGATTAACATACAAGAATGAAGGAGTGTATGTGAAGTAGGTATTTGTGAATTATATTTGAGATCGTATCAACATCCACTGTAGCACATGTTTGACAGGTAAAACACTGCTTTAACTATATATATGTAAATCCAGGTGTATGTGATGATTCTTTTTGATAAATAGTTAATGGAATGCCAGTTGTAGCAATCAATGGACTATTAAGGTTAATATATATATATATATATATATATAATCTAATTGATCAACAAATCATAGACTTTAACACTTATAACTCAGTTTTTATAATTTTATTTAATTAAAATCTAGGTCCCTAATATTTTAAAAATAAAATTATAAAGAATAAAGTCATTATCAAAACTTAAAAACTAATATTTTAAATGGTTAAAATTATAGAGATTGAGTTGTATATAATCAAATTATAGGAACTAAACTGTACTGAGTTAAAATTATGGAGCTAAAATAATTGAATAAAAAATATAGGGATCAAATGATTAATTTTTCTTAATTAATTATTAATTTTCACTGCAATTTGGAAGAGTCAAAACTACTCATATTCATAATTAGTTTTCTCAGCAGGTGAAACCACAATCCTCTAACATTGTTATAATTGGTTGGATCACGTATGGTTGTTACATATTTTATTCCATTGCTTTCTTTTCTTAAAAAAATAAATATTCGTTGTTGGTAGTTCAACCATGGAATATTATGAATTTCTATTATTATTATAATTATTATCAGTCATGTTGATGTACACATAAGTTTATTTCCGGTTAAAAGTTGATTAATTTTAACCTCCTCTCTGTTTTTTTTACCCTTGCATGATATTGCATATTTTATATTTATTTTTGAATTGAACGTGCTATTAATAATTATATCTTGTGTTGTCTACTGGTCTGGATAATATATAAATTCTGGTCTCATTATTAATCTTTCTTCCAAACAGGTCACAAAAAGAATAAAGAAAAAGTCAATGTCAGTTTATCAGTAGCTGAAGTCAGGTTAATTAGACTTGAAATTATTTTTATTTTTTTTTTATAATGCAGGTATTGTTAATTGTTATTTGATTCATCATGCATCATTTATCATGACATTAATTTGTGATTATTATTATATTCAATTTGTCAGTTACTATCAATATATCTTAAGTGTCGTGTAATTGTTTACTAGCTTGATATATTTTTGGCCATATCTTTTAGATAATTATTCTTCATTTTAAGGATGTTTCATAGATTTAATTCAAGTTTCTTTTGTAGTTTGGAGACCCTTCTCAAGGAGCAAGACCATGAGGCTCGAAATCTTGAGTGACATTTTTTTTTTGTTAAAAGGATCAATAAATTAAATTAATTAAAAAGCAACCAACCAAGATTAATCCAATTGATAAGGATTTGACTCGTATATAAAGGAAATAGTGATATCTCACAAAGTCATATATTCAAATATTGCTATCAATACAAGGACTTTATTGATGAGCAATTTATAAATATCTTATAAACACTTTTTAAAATTAAGGCATGCCTTTTCTAGTGAATCCATAAAATCTAACTCACCTAAATTTTATACTATAGAAAAAGAACAGAGTGAGATTCCATGGCAATGGCGAATTCCTAAATTCAACGTGTGGGACATGGCTATAATGGAAGGCTAAAATGATAACATTTGAAAAGTAACAACTGTATAATAATGAAAATGTTGTGCTCATCAACTGTCATGTGAAAATTCCTTTGCGAAGATGGCTTGGTTGATAAGACTTTTCATGTGACACTTTATAAAGAGACTTTTATTTCCATAGCTCAAAAAGTCAACAGTAGAGGAGATCCAATGAAAAACAGTCCTTAGAGCCATAAGAATTGGGCTTTGAAGTTTAGAACCAATAGCCACGTTTTGGTGAGGTTGAGCAAATACACCTTCTCATTTTAAAAAAAATTACTAAGTAAATTTTGTAACTTTGCATCCTTATTCTCAATATTTTACACCACTTGAACTAAATAAAAAATATTTGAACTTAAAAACTTATTAGATATATAATATTTTAATGATCAAGATGAGATATAAAAAACACATTTATACAAAAAGACCATATTAATATGTTCAATATAATTTTTAAAAAAGAAAAATGTGATTTGAAGTTTTTGAGCTGTTGCATCTAAAGACACTATTATTCCTATTTGGATGGTGATGGGAGTTCAAGATGTCCCCTTTTGGAATGCTTTTGTGAATGAGTTTGCTTGGAGATAGAATTTATTGAACAAAATTTTGAAGCTTAAAAGGACTTAAGGTAACCTCTCTAACCCTTTCCCTATTGTCTAATCTTCCTCTTGGGTTGGTTTATTTAAGGAGAATGTTAGGGTTTCTAATTAGTAGGAAGGGGTTTAAGCTATTGTTTAGCATTATTTGGATTGTTTGGTGTTAGATAAGTATTTAAAAGGGTTGTGTGGTAGTATAATGTTGAATGGAGTATATGTAACCAAAACCTTAGGTTGATGGTGGGGTTTTGGGTAGAAATTGAGGATAAAAGGTTATAAATGTAAGTTTGAATGTGGGTAGAATCTTGTGAATTGGGTGCTTGGATATAGGAAAACAAGAAGGGAAGTGAAACTAATGTTATGGATTTCAAAACTTGAAACTAATGCTATGTAGTATAGAAATTATGTAGATTATGTTGTTGGAGAAGGTTGTGGTGAGAAGAAATTTGCCCAAGAAGTTTGATCGCAAAGAGTAAAGGTAACATTTACTAATTTGTTTTTC